GCAAACATTGTAGTTCGTTATTAATAATTATGTTTAACAGGATATTGTGAAAACTAAGTTACGAAATTTTTATTAAAACTTTTCTTGCCGAAACCGGTTTGGCTCAGTGGATAGAGCATTGGCTTGCGGACTGAAAGGTTCCAGGTTCGATTCCAGTTAAGGGCATGTACCTTGGTTGAGGGCACATCCCCAGAAGGGGGTGTGCAAGAGGCAGCTGATCCTGAAAGGTTCCAGGTTCAATTCCAGTCAAGGGCATGTGCCTTGGTTGCGGGCACATTCCCAGTAGGGGGTGTGCAAGAAGCAGCTGATTGATGATTCTCTCTCATCGATGTTTCTAACTTTCTATCCCTCTCCCTTCCTCTTGTAAAAGAACCAATAAAATATATATTTTTAAAACTTTTCTTACATACCCTTACATTGGCTGTGCTGCAAAAATATTCCTTGTGGGCGACATTTAGTATGCTTGCTCTAAGCAATTCCAGGGGATCCTCTAGAATCGCCATTCAGTGGTCACTATTTAGATTTGGATGACGGTAGGAGGCTTGCGTGTAGGGCTCCTGGGCTGGCCCGGGTTTCTGTGTCATCACTGCATGCCTGCATGTCCTGGGTCAGAGAGGCTGTCCCTACAGGGAGCCTACCTGCCAGAAACCCCACACATCACCCGCAACTTGCTCCTCCACCCACCTAATCACTGCCAACAACTCCCCCCCCCCCCATTCTGGTCTGATCATCCACAATTGCTGTCCCTTCTGGGCCCCTTTATTTTATTTTATTTTAATTTCAGAGAGGGAGGAGAGAAAGATAGAAACATCAACGATGAGAGAATCATTTACTGGCTGCCGCCTGCACGCCCCTCACTGGGAATCCAGCACGCAACCCGCACATGTGCCCTGACCGGGAACTGAACTGTGATCTCCTGGTTTATAGCTTAGCACTGTCCACCCTCCCCACCGCCCAATCCAGCACCGGAGACGCTCCATGCACGTCTGGTGCCCGGATGCCAAGACAGTATCAGAAAAGAACATGACATCTCGTTATTTTCATAATGGTTTTATGTGGAAAGCCAGGCCGGGCTCGGGGCTTCATCAGGTGCCCCGCCAGGTGAGTGTGGGAGCCAGCCACACCTGGAAAGGAACCGTGTCTGTCATGGAGAGCCCGGGGATGTGTGGGGTTTCTGGCAGGTAGGCTCCCTGTAGGGACAGCCTCTCTGACCCAGGACATGCAGGCATGCAGTGATGACACAGAAACCCGGGCCAGCCCAGGAGCCCTACACGCAAGCCTCCTGCTGCCCAGGACGGGAAGAGCCACCGTGACCGTCCACACCAGGGGTGGGACCCTTTCTCTGCCAACGGCTGTTGGGATATTTCTAACATCATTCTCAGGTCATGCAAAATTACCAGCTTAAATATTAGCCTCTGTGCTTGGTCAAATATTTCATTAATTCACCCCTAATGCCACCAAATAGCATCTCCCACACCTGGTCTAACCCTGAGTCCAGCACGGGCCCAGAGGAAGAGGCGGGTCCGGAGGGTGTGGCCACAGGCCAGTCCTGCCTTCTCAGGGCTCTGGCCTCAGCTCCAGGAGCTCCTGGACAGCCGGCCTGGCCTCTCCTCCCCTGGACATGCAGGCACACCTGGCTTTCCACATAAAACCATTATGAAAATACTGAGGTGTCATATTCTCTTCTGATACTGTCTTGGAGATCCGTGTTTACAAACACAATCCGTGTTTAAAACTGCAGTGTGTTCAACCCCCCGCCCAGGAGACGCCTCCGTGGAGTGAGAAGGCCTGAGACCTCACAGCTCTATCTCACTTAACATCTGAGACAGAGATGCATCTTTGCAAATTCCTAACATGTGATTAGTCCCTGCATCCTTGCATGGCATGCTTGTTATCAGGTCAATTTTCTTGTAAGGGTTGTACGTATTTTTTTAAAGTATGTTTTTATTGATTTTTAGTGGGGGGGATAGATAGAAACATCATCGATTGTCTGACTTCTGCACGCCCCCTACTGGGGATGGAGCCCCAAACCCAGGCATGTGCTCTGGCCAAGAGTCAAACTGTGGCTCAACCACTGAGCCACGCCAGCTGGGCAGCTTGGACATACACTGCCAGCGGGGTGAGTGCCATGAGAACTAAGCCCTCATTTACTTGCTGGTGTGGACCTGTTAGGACCCACTGCACTGGTGCCTGGTTTAGTGGGTGAACCTGATAGGAGCAGAAATAGAATACTGGGGACCAACTGTAATTGGAAGAAATGTGGGTCATGCTCTGTTAACCGGGATTGTTTTGTTGTTGAAGGCACATTCTAACCTGGCTGGGCGTTGCACGTGGGACCTGGGAGCTCACCTGGAGACTCAGCCCCTCCTCCCCATCAGGGAGCTGCCTGTTATCCTAGAAAGATTAGCAACCTTGTTGCAGGCACCAAAGTCACTAGTCTTTTGAAGACCCCCCAGCCCTTAGCAAATCACTAAGTCCTTTCAAAACTCCCAGCCCTAATGAAACCAGTTTGGCTCAGTGGATAGAGCGTTGGCCTGCAGACTGAAAGGTCCCAGGTTCAATTCTGGTCAAGGGCATGTACCTTGGTTGCGGGCACATCCCTAGTAGGGGGTGTACAAGAGGCAGTTGATCAATGATTCTCTCTCATCGATGTTTCTAACTCTCTATCCCTCTCTCTTCCTCTCTGTAAAAAAAATCAATAAAATATACTTTAAAAAAAAAAAGGCTCCCAGCGCTACCCACAGGCCTTTGCAAATCTCCAGACCCCATTACCTGTCAACTACCCACTTGGCATACCCTTTGCCTACTTCCCCATGGCATCTATGCCCTTCTATCCAACATAAGCCCAACATAAGCAGCGGGCTCACGATGGGGGCAGAGCAGATGTTTGTGGGTGACCTGCTGCTCCCCATGCTGCTGGCAGGACTGAAGTAAACGCTCACATGTGATTCAACTCTGTCCCTGCTTAATTGGATCAAGGAGTGACAGGCAGCCAGTCCCCTTGATTGTCCAATCCCATAATCTGGCCACTCTGGTGGGACAAAAGCGGGGGTAAGGGGTCCTCTAGGGCGAGTACCGGGGATCCTGCTTGCTGCCTGAACTAGGGTCCCCGGGGCTGAGGCCTGGACTCTTATTTGCAGCGCTGCCGGGAACTTTCCTGTTTTGGGTTCACCCACAGTCTCAGCAATCCCCATCACCTCACTTAAAACCTAAGTTGAGCCCCAGGAGGTTTGGCTCAGTGGATGGAGTGTTAGCCTACGGACTGGAGGGTCCCAGATTCGATACCAGTCAAAGGCACATGCCAGTGGGGAGCATGCAGGACGCAGCCAATGGATGATTCTCTCTCATCATTGATGTTTCTATCTCTCTCTCCTCTCCTTTCCTCCCTGAAATCAATAAAAATATATTTAAAATAAAACCCAAGTTGAGCCCCAATTGGTTTGGCTCAGTGGATAGAGCGTCAGCCTACGGACTCAAGGATCCCAGGTTCCATTCTGGTCAAGGGAATGTATCTTGGTTTCGAGCACATCCCCAATAGGGGGTGTGCAGGAGGCAGCTGATAGATGTTTCTCTCTCATTGATGTTTCTCTATCCCTCTCCCTTCCTCTCTGTAAAAAAAATCAATAAAATATATATTTTAAAAAAACAAAAACAAAACAAAACCTAAGTTGAATAGAGCGTTCTGTAATGAGGAAGCCCATTGTCTGTTGTCCGGTTTGGGGTGAGCCTGACCAGCTCCCGTTGCAAGCGGCCTCTCAAGAGCCTTGCCTGGTCCCCTCACCCGAGCCTGACCTGTGGGGTGCTGGGCACTGGGGTCTGTAATGGGGTCAGTTGCCTGGGGTGAGCCCGACCAGCTCCCAGTTACAAGTGGCCTCCCAAGGGCCTCTGGCTGAGCACTGGCTGTGCCCCGTGAGCCACACGGTTGTCCACAGCTGCCCGCTGTGTGCACTTGTAAACGTTGTATGTTAGGCTGATTCTTGCCAGGTGTCACTTTGCCTATAAATCTTGCTTCAACTGTTCAAGCATGGGTGCTGGTGGGTCCATCCCAAAAGATACTCATTGGGGCACTGAGCTACTCAGCTTACTGCCGATGAAAAAAGGAAACGGGTGTTTCACTGCAATGCGGCGGGGCCCTCTCCCCGATACCCTAACTGGGGACGAGAGCTCGCGTTGGGGACCGTCCGGTGGGCAGCTCCTGTCTGTGCGTTGTGGGCGCTGGCAACACCGTGTGTGAGGGTCTCTGCCGGTTGTCAGTGTCTCTCTGTCGTTCGGTTTTATTTGTTTTGTTAAAGATGGGCAGTGCCTGGGCGAGGTGGCATCCCTGGTCCCGCGGGCAGGGCAGCAGAGAGCCATGGCCTCTGCGTCACCTTCTCCGCAGGGCGGGCTGCGTCTCAGCCGCCGGAGTGAGGAGCGAGCTGCCGTCCGACGAGGGCGCAGGTCGCGCGGCGGGTGCGGGTGCCGGTCCGAGTCCCGGGCGGGGGCGGCGGAGGGCCCGAGCGCGCTGCCCCAGGCCAGGCCCTGTCGCCACATCGACCCCGCGCAGGGCGTCCCCCGGGGGCGAAGGTAAACACAGGCCGCCCAGCCTGCGCTGGTTCGCGGCTTTCAAAGGGGGCGCTCTGCAGTGAGGATGCCCGTCGGCGTCAGTGAAACGCGTCTCTCACACGGTGCCCGACGCCCTCCGCCCCGCAGTGACCACGCGGGAGCGTGCAAACGGGAGGCCCGCGCCTGGTTGCTCACTCCAGGCCGCCTCCCACGTCCTCCGAGAAGGTCGCCCAGGCGCGGCCGGCGGCGTGACGGAGCGAAAATCTCCTCAGCACGGCGCCGCCGCCGCCATCTTTATAGGGAATGAGCGAGGCCCCGCCCCTCGCGAGATGCGGAGCGCGCGCCTTTCCCGCCAGAGCGCGGCGCCCTTGTCCGATCACGTGACAAGAAGCGCTCGTTCCCTCCCGGGGCGTGGCTTCACGCACGCTTAGACGCGCGCGCGCGCGCAGTAACGTCAGTTCCTGTCGGCGGCGGAAGCGCGAAGGGGTGCTTCCGCTTTCCGACGCCGCGCGCTCTCCGCTTTCAGCCGACGCGGGATCATGGCGGCCACCGCGACGATGGCGAACTCGGGCTCGGCGCGGAAGCGGCTGCTCAAAGAGGAAGACATGACCAAAGTGGAATTCGAGACGAGCGAGGAGGTGGACGTGACGCCCACGTTCGACACCATGGGCCTGCGGGAGGACCTGCTGCGCGGCATCTACGCCTACGGTGGGTGGGCGCGGAGGGCGGGGGCGGGCGAGGGCAGGCCGGGCCCGTAGGCTGAGTCCCCGGCCCGAGAGGGACCCTCCCCCCTCCCCGCCGGGCTCCGGGCCGAGGCGGCTAGGGGGACCCCATCCCGGCACACCGTCATCACTGCGCGACCCAGGTTGCGGCGTGTTGTCCTCGGTGCCCAGCTACGCGCGGGTCTCTCCGGGGCTGCGCGGTCGCCCGGACGCTCATTCAGCGGATAACCGCCTGCGGCTCCCGGTGAGGCTCCCGCGCTGCTTTGGGCACCGGGGCTGAGCAGGGAGCCATGCGGGCTCGGGCCCCGGAGAACTTAAGCTGCGTTTGGGAGAAGGTAGCCCAGTGGTAACGGCTGTGAAGGAGCGGAGCCGGGTAATTGGAGCAAACGGACAGGCGGGCCCCCGTGAGGAGGTGACAGTTGAGCTGGGATCTGGATTAGGGAGCCCGTTAGGAGAAGACGGTGGTGAAAGCGGGCAGTGGAGGAGCCTGTCCCGGGAGCCGGGCGATGAGCTCGGAGAGGGCGCAGGGGCAGTGCGAGGCGATGGGGTTCCGGTGCCCTGGGGAGGAGGGTCTGAGCTGGGGTGACGTCCTGCTGTGGGTAGAAGGGGCTGGCTGTGCACCTGGCGGAGGAGGGCGGGAGAGGGAGCGGGCTGAGCCGGGAGAGGTGTCGGCGTGGCGGTGGAGGTGGGCAGCGCTGCCAGGGTTCACGGTGGGTGAGTGGAGCAGCAGAGGGAAGAGGGCCGGTGTGGCTCGGTGTTGGAGCAGCCACCAGTTGATGCTGCCAGGAGCTTAGGGGAGGAGCACTTGGAGGCACAATCGGGGCGCTGGCTTGGTTGTGGTGAGCTTGGGGGCGTGAGCATCCTCCTGGCGATGTTGGGAGGCAGCTGCCTAAGCTGGGGCCGGGGCCCCTCTTACCCAGTCCGTGGTGCCAGGACAGCTTAGAGCAGAGGTGTTGGGGGGGTGGAGGGTAAGGAACCATCGCAGCCCGCCTGCCTCGGCCCCAGGACACCCTGCCCGTCCCGTCCATGTGCTTGGCCATGAGGAGGCGTTTAAATCTGCTGCTACAGTTGCTTGTGTGTTAGATGGGAAACCTCGCTACATGTTAAAAGACTACCAACAATAATTACAGCTTTGGACATAAAGTGTTTGTTTACTTGGCGAGTACTTGTACTCCTTCAGAGTAGCCCCGTGCCTTGGTGATTTAGGCTGTTGTGCGAGAGAGATGGGGTGCAGGTCACCCCACAGTGCTGCCCCAGCAACGGGGGCGGGAGGGGGCAACATAGGTTATAGTCACACAATCACAGTCAGAGTACAGTGAGCCGCCCACCCACTCCCCAGAGTGCCGCCTCCTCCCTTAGTCTTAAACCTCTCTGGGTCTATCCATCCTCCAGGGATGTTCCTTTAGACTCTAAAGTTTAGAGGGTTTGCCTTCTAACCAGGCTCCGTGCAGCATAAAAACCTGCTTCCGCCAGTTGCTCAGCAGCTGTCTGGTGAGAGCTGTGTGCTGGGCCAGGCAGGGCAGAGGCTGGGGGTGGGGCTGGGAGAGCCCACCTCTGCACCCGGACCTTACAGTGTCTGGTTGTGAACACGCTGGCCTGGAGCTCAGAGCCCCCTTCTGCTCTGTCCGCAGGGTTTGAAAAGCCCTCCGCCATCCAGCAGCGCGCCATCAAGCAGATCATTAAAGGGAGAGACGTCATCGCTCAGTAAGTCCGCTGCAGCGGCCGGGAACAATTCGGGTTTTTATACTTGGATTTCTTTCCCCAATAAGTGCAGTAGATATATTTCCTATTGTGATTTTTTATAACATTTCCTTTTCTCCGGCTTTATTGTAAGAATGTAGTGTGTAGAACTTACAGAACATGTTAATTGATGTGTATATGTTATTGGTAAGTCTTCTGGTTAATAGTATAGGCTGTTAGCACTTAAGGTTGGAGGTAGTTAAGTTGTGTGAGGGTTTTGACTGGGAAATTGGCAGCCCTAACCCCCTGCTGTTGCAGGGGCCCCTGTGCTGTTGGTGCTTTGGGGCCCCAAGGTTCTGTTTTTGTATGCTTATTACCAGCTGTTTCCTTGACTTCAGCCCAGGGTGCTTTATTGCTGTATTCTGTGTTCTCTATTTTGGAAAGCTTTAATTTTTATCCAGCTTTAATGCCTGTCAGCTGGCATGTGGATTTGTATACAATCCTCCTTAAATAGCTTTATTACTGATTTACCTGATTTTTAAAGACTCATTCACAAAAATAAAAAATAACTGGAGGACAGTTTCCATTCAGATCATACTTAAGGGGAATGACACCTGCTGGGGTAGGCTCTGCAGCTCTGACCAATGCCATCGTAGCTATTGTCTGCTTCACCGGGGACTGGAAACGACATTGTGCCCGCGTCCCACCTCCTGCCACTAAGGTGGTGGTGGTCTGCTGGGGGCGGGGGGGGGGGGGTCAGAAAGGGGGAGAGACTCATCCTGGAAGAAGCTGCCCGGTGCTCCCTCCCCTCGGAGCGTGGCTATGGTGGGTCTGTGAGTGGACAGTGGTGTGTGGCCCACGCTTACCTGTGTTCTCTCCTAGGTCTCAGTCTGGCACAGGCAAAACTGCCACCTTCAGCATTTCCGTCCTCCAGTGTCTGGACATCCAGGTAACTGGCAGCTCCATTTCCTCCGGGAGGCGCGCCCTTCCTTCTGGGGCTCAGTGTTCGCGTCTCTGCTGTGCTGACTCAGACTTGCAAAGAGAACGGTTGCCCGCTAGTGTCTGAGCTAACCCCCTGCCATACGTTCCTTTATCTGGATGGAAGGCTTTAAACTAGTGGACGTTCTCGTCTGTAAACAGACTGCTCACCGGACCCGTCACCTCTGGGCTTGCGGTTTTAGAGACACTGAGTGTGGTTTGCCTCCATTAGGAGTCAGATGGGCGCTTAACGTGAGATCCTAGTCACAGGGTGTCTGAGCCGAGTCGGCAGGTCCGCCTGCAGAGCACTGACGTCTGTCCCTGGCGATTGCTTCACAGGTCCGCGAGACGCAGGCCCTGATCCTGGCCCCCACCAGAGAGCTGGCTGTGCAGATCCAGAAGGTGAGGCGCACACACACACACACACCCCCAGGGCCTGCCTCTTGGCTGCTGCGAGGCCAACCACGTCTCATCCACCCGCTCTCTAGTTCCTCAGCTTCTCCTGACAGGTTTTGCCATAAACCGTCACGATATATGAATCAGGGTTTGCGTTGTCATTATTAGTGTGGCTTGTGTGGTTGCGTAGTTCCTGGCAGTCGGCACCAAAGAGCCAGCTACCTTATGCTCACAGTGAGCACTGCGGAGGGCTATGCAGTAACGTGCCAGGATTGTTCCTGGCTGGATGAGAGTATGAATTTCATGTTTCCTGGCTTTTCAGTAATTGCGTGTACTGTGTTTGTAGCGAGAAACCATTAAGACTAACTTCAGTCTCCAATCTCCAATGCTTCCTCAGGAAGAGGAGGGAGCGAGGGGAGAAGCGGGTTGTCTGTGATGTGAATAATCGCATACATAGTGTGCGGGGGTCACGCCAAGTGCATGGGAATGACCTGTGTCCCACCCTCCAGGGCCTGCTCGCGCTCGGCGACTACATGAACGTGCAGTGCCACGCCTGCATCGGGGGCACCAACGTAGGGGAGGACATCCGGAAGCTGGACTATGGGCAGCACGTCGTGGCCGGCACTCCGGGGCGCGTGTTTGGTGAGCGAGGGCCTCGCTCGGGCCTCAGAGTGGCTGGCCTGCGCGGGGTCACTTGTAGGAAGCAGAGGGAGGTCTGGAATGGCTGCTCCTTCCTCCTAACCTGCGGTCTAACTCCTCTTGAATCTGGTTTGTAGACATGATTCGTCGCAGGAGCCTGAGGACGCGGGCTATCAAGATGCTGGTTTTGGATGAGGCGGATGAAATGTTGAACAAAGGTGTGTGTAACGTAAGGGCTGATCTCTGCCGACGTGTGATCTCACGTGTTCACAGTGCGGGGTGGAAACGGGCACCAGTGGATGTGCTCGCAGTAGGGGAGTGTGTTGGTGGGGCCACGGGGCCGGGAAAAACTCACACTTTGGTCTTTTTGTGGTCGCTGCTTGTAAGGCTGACCACAGCCAGCAGGGCAAGCAGCCTGTTGTCCCAACCAGACACGCATTGCTTTCTGTGTCCGTGGTCAGCACACGGGACAGGCCTGTGAGCTGAGCTGTGGAGAGGATTTGGGCGGAAGTCGTAGGCTGTGCAGGGGTGCGGCCTCAGGTGCCTGTGGTCTGTTCCTCGCCCCAGGTTTCAAAGAGCAGATTTACGACGTGTACAGGTACCTGCCCCCGGCCACGCAGGTGGTGCTCATCAGCGCCACGCTGCCCCACGAGATCCTGGAGATGACCAACAAGTTCATGACGGACCCCATCCGCATCCTGGTGAAGCGGTGAGCACACCTCTTCAGCACCGGGGCTGCACTGGCGTTTAAAACGTGGAACCCTAATTTCCTTTTTTGAAAAGCCAGCTTTTAATGTCCATTCCCTTTTAACCTAGCAATTCCAATCTGAACGATTAGCTGCCGGCGTGTACCGGGGACTTGAGAGTAAGAGGAGTAGATATCGTGGGACAGGGGTGTTCTCTTTCTGTTTGCGGTGGTGGTGATTTCTGGTTCTGAACCAGAGCTGGGCCCGGGTGGGAGAAATGGTGGCTCCTAGGTGTGACCAGCCAGACAGGCCTGCCTGCGCCGCCCCCCAGTCTCAGTGGAAGAGCAGGTAACAGGGTTCGTCTCTCCTCCAGTGATGAGTTGACCTTGGAAGGCATCAAGCAGTTTTTCGTGGCGGTGGAAAGAGAAGAGTGGAAGTTTGACACGCTGTGCGACCTCTACGACACACTGACCATCACCCAGGCCGTCATCTTCTGCAACACCAAGAGGAAGGTGCGTGGCTGGGCCCCTGCAGGTCCTGGTGCCGGCTGGAGCTCGGTCTCTGCGAAGCTGGCATGGGCGGGCGTGGAGGCCGGGCGTCTGCTGCGGGCTATATGGGCACGTGGGCTCCGGGGCAGCTGCCCACTCTGCCCTGGAGCACAGCGGCCGCTGTGGGTGGTGCACAGTGGAACGACAGTGTCATTCCAGTCCCACGCCATCGGAGTCAGGTGGCTCCGCTGATGGGTGTTCGTGCCACTGGCTGGGCACGACACGCCTCACACCCGGTGAGGATGAGCCCGCGTCTCAGCGCGCCCGCGTCTCAGCGCGCCCGTGTCTCAGCGCGCCCGCTCTGCAGGGCTATGTGGGCTCTAATGATGCGCCAAGTCCGGGTCCGGCTGCTTTGGGAGCTCAGGGGCACCTGCGATCCCGTTGGCAGGTTGACTGGCTGACGGAGAAGATGAGAGAAGCCAACTTCACGGTGTCGTCGATGCACGGGGACATGCCGCAGAAGGAGCGCGAGTCCATCATGAAGGAGTTCCGGTCCGGCGCCAGGTGGGTGGGCACGGCCTCGTGTGGGACAGGCAGCTCTGGAGGAGGGGCGGGGGGGGGGGCAAGCCCCGCCACGGCCTGTGGTGCGGTGACCGACGCGTGAGACACGGAACTTGTACTCAGGGCCCTTGCGAAGGGTTGTCGTGGCGCTGCCCCTCACCCCACGTGGACCAGGGACCAGGGTGCGGGTGACTGGCATCCAGTCTTGAGCCTTCGTGACTGAGTGCCGGCCTCGCGCCTCCCTCTTGCCGCAGCCGGGTGCTCATCTCCACCGACGTCTGGGCCCGGGGCCTGGACGTCCCTCAGGTGTCCCTGATCATCAACTACGACCTGCCCAACAACAGAGAGCTCTACATCCACAGGTAGGGCGCCTTCTGCCTCCCCTTCCCCTCGGCCACCCACTTGGTCCTCGCTGTGTGTGCCAGCGAAGTCTTCCTTTCTCCCAAGAATCGGGCGGTCGGGGCGGTACGGCCGGAAGGGCGTGGCCATCAACTTCGTGAAGAACGACGACATCCGCATCCTGCGGGACATTGAGCAGTACTACTCCACGCAGATCGACGAGATGCCCATGAACGGTGCGCGGGGAGGGGCCTGCGGGGCCCGGCGTCCCATCCGGGGGCCCGCCGCCCTCCGCTAACCTGCGTCTCCTCCTCTTTTCCTGTTCAGTTGCCGATCTGATCTGAGGCGTCTGCTGCTCTGGGGAGAAGGTGGCTGCTGTGTCCCCTCGGGACTGTCCAGAGCAGTTTCTGTGTAAGGAGTTTGCGGCCCCAGACAACCTGAATGGAACGGAACCTGATCCCCCTGACCACGCTGTCAGGGCGTGACCATACATGTCTCTGCACAGAGAGAGGGCACACGCAGCTCAGCGAGTGATGTGGAAGCCACACAAGGCTGTTGTGGTGATGCTGCACACACCCAGTTCGCCTTCTTTTCTTTTCTTACCACGTGTAAATAATGCTTGGCTCTGTCTTTTTCATTAAACAGTTTAAACTTTGCCCATGAACTCCTTTCTGTGTCCTGAGCTCCCACACCTGCCTGCGCCCGCAGTCTGCTTGCTGAGCCCTCCCTACCCTGTGGGGTGGATGAGTGAATTTCCACATTCAAGCCTCTGAAACTAGAGCATATGAGAGGAATTTAGTAGGAAAAATCAAAACCCAATGGGTTCTTCAAAGAGCAACAATGTGACAGTTGCCCTCAGAATAGAAGGGTCGCCCCTATGGAGCGGGTGGAGTCCTAGGAGACGGCTCTGCGGATCCTGACCAGATGTAAAGTCAGGAGGAGGCGAAGGCAAGAACTGGGCAGGCAAAAGTAGGCTTGCAGTCGTTTGGGTGAAAAATGCAATAATCATCCAACAAGAAGTCTCACATGCAACTGTAAGCCAACTTGTGCCCCACACTGAACAAAGGCACCAAGAAGTGGAAATGACCACAGCACCACACTCCTCACCACTGGAGTGGCCATGGCCACGGTAGACGGCCCACAGGGAAGAGGATTCCCGGGGACGGAAGTCTAGGGTGAAGGGTAATTTATCAAAAGGATGCTGCAATCCTAAACACCTGTACGGCGGACACACCGCTCAGAACAGGAAGCAGACCCTGACCTGCTCGGACTAGGCCGGTCCAGTGGCTGCGGGAGCTCGGTGTCCTCATCCTCCCTTTGGAGGCCACCGGGAGGGGCCAGGGCCTCGCGCCTGGTAAGGCAAGGACTATAGGAGGGGGTGGGGGTGGGGGTGGGGGGCCTAAGGAATCTGCAGGCCCCTGACAGATAACAGAAAAGGTGAGTTCTGCAAGGTCAGCCTCCAAGGTCATGTGTGCTGTTTACAAACAACGAGCATGGGAAGGGGAATTTAAAGAACCCCCTTCACAATATCGGGGCTACACGTGACAAAACCGGCAGGTCTGCATTGAGCCCACGAAACGTCGCCATGAGGAACAAAAGATGCGAGTAAGAGAGACGCTGCCCCAAAGGACCAGCAGAGGCGTTCACCGACCATTCCACAGCCTCAAACACCAGGCGACGCCGTTCTGGTGAAAACACACGTGGCCTCAGAACTGCTTCTGGAAATAAGGCCTAGCAGAGTACAGCTGGGGAAGTGGGCGCATTGGAGGGCTTCCACTGCCTGACACCAACGTCCACCCATGAACCAGGAGGTCCCAGTTCAATTCCCAGGCCAGGCACATGTCCGTTACGGGCTCCATGCCCAATATGGGTGTGCAGGAGGCAGCCGATCAATGATTCGCATCACTGATGTTTCTATCTCCCTCTCCCTCTGAAATCGGCATAAAGACACACCGGGGGGAATATTACCAAAGACGACGTGGACAGGCCTGTAGGTCCCTGAGACACAGACCGACCGCAGGTTCACGGGGAGTGGGTTTCAGCAAAGGCACTGAGGGGGAAAGGGGACTATTTTCAACAAGTGCCGGACAACGGGCTAGTCACACAAGAAAGAAAATCAGAAAACCTGGACCAGCCTTTACTCCATCACATCCAATCTCACTGGAAATGCCAGGCTTAAAACCACAACACTTCTCCAGAAGACAGGAAAGTCGGGGACATGGGGTTTGGCAAAGATTTCGTTAAAGGGGTGTAGAAACAGAAGCGGTGCCCGTCACAATGAAAAGCTTCACTCCTCAAAGACATCCTTCCGCATTTCGTGCCCTGGAGGCCAGGGGGCCCCGGAGGCTGGACCCGGTGCCGCTTTATCACCAATAACTGCACTTAACACGAGGTCCCAGCAGGCGGCCCCCAGCTCCGTCCTGTCAGGGCGTCACTCGGGGCACAGGTGCCATGGGGCCGCACATGCCACCTTCCCTGCTATTGGGGCAGGCAGCTGGGGTGGGGTGGCCGACGTCCCACGCATCCCAGTGACGGTTTGCAGAGAGCAAGGCTCCAGTGAAAGGCTCCGAACCCATGCAACGCCAGGACGCCGGCAGGCGTGGGAGCTGGCCCAGGACACGGGGATGCAGGTGCCACTGGCCAGGGTCCAGCGCAGGAGGTAGACAGGTGAGCGGATCTGGGTGTTGGAGGGAGGTAAGCGCTACGCCACATGGGTGAACACGAAGGCAGCTGGGAAGTCGAGGCCTGACGTGCCTCTGGCCCCAGTCAGGACCAGCTGATGAGAAACTGCTGTCCCATCGTCAGCGAGACGGGGATGTCCAGGGTCTGGAACAAGAAAGAACATTGGCCCCGAACCGTGGAGCAGGAGGGAGCCCGGCGCCCAGCAGGCAGGCGTGGACGCGGGTGGGCGGGTGACCCAGGTGACGGACAGTGCTCCCGGCTCTGGCCGCCTCAATCATGCTCTGGAACACGGCACGTCACACAGACACAGGCAGAAGAAAGATAGGGTTCCGGGGGCCAATCCTGCCCCTCTCCAAGATCCAGTTCCGCCCCTTGTGAAGCCCAAGAGTCCACGGGATCTACATAGCATATCCCTGAGGCCAGCTTGGAGGACACTGTCCTCAGGGGCCCAGCCACCCGCACCTGTCCTGGGGGACAGCCCTCTGGCCTGTCTTGGGCTCTTGCCTGGGTGTCGGGGCTGTAGGTGAAGTTGGAGACAGGAACCCCGTTGGCAAGGACCTGCTTGGGGGTGGAGGCCACCCCCAGGACGGTCACCCTCCTCAGCTGCAGGGCGGCCCCCTCGCTGCTCACGTGCACCACGTCGTTCACGAGGGAGTTCTGGGCAGCAGGACAGATGGGTGTGAGCGGACGGCAGCAGGAGCCCCAGGACAGGGCCTCTGCACAGCCCCGGCGAGGGCAGGGGGCACTTGGCCCAGCCTGGCCCCGCGGCACAGGCCCTGGGCGGGCTGGCAATGTGGGAGCTCGGGCCCGCTCAGACAGCCTGCACTCGGGGTGGCCTCCAGGGGACAGGTGGCCATCCCGGGACCCAAGCCCGGCTCCCCTCACCCCAGGCAGGCCCCACGCTGCACCCCGCTGGGCAGGGGCAGGACTCACGTTCCTGGCCAGGAAGACGAGCTGTGTGTAGGCCCCGCGCTCCAGCACCCCCAGGCTCTCCCCGTCATCCCAGAAGAGCTCCCCACGGGCCTCCCCGCTCGAGGCCAGGGCGACGGCCAGCGCCATGGGCTGCTTGCGGGACTCTGTGGTCGTGAGGCCAGGGCCCTGCAGACCGGGCGGCACACGTCACCGGACAGAGCCTTCGACCCGGAGGGAAGGACAGGACGTGGGGACAGCCCCAGCCCGGGAACCAGGCCCGCAGGATGGTCTGCCGCCAAGTGGCCCAGCCCCCAATGAGACCAGCCTGTCCCAGGCGGACCCCCAGGACAGGAGAGCCCACAGAGGTTTGCAGACTGGCTGACTCTGGTCGGGCCCGCCCCTCCGCAGGCCGGGCCACAAGTTAGTGGGCTGTATGGGGAGTCTCCACCTGGACCCCCTCCTCCTCCACCCTCAGGAGCACCCTGCGGGCCGGGCTGGACCAGCTGCTCGGAGCAATGCGGCCCGGACAAAGGCCTCGGTGTCCGGCCAGGTACCTGCAGGGGGACGATGTGTCCAGCCCGGAGGTGGACGTTGATGGTGTCCAGGGGGGCCGGCAGCGTCACCCACTGGCCCTCGCTGTGGATGGCAGGCCTGAGGGGTGCCGGAGGTGGAGGTGGGAGGCTGCCAAGGGCTTCGAACGGCACCTGGATGGGGACGGCACGTCACCAAGGGTCCTGGGCAGCGCCCAAGCCCCGTGCTGTGGGCAGGAGCCGAGGACGCCAGGGAGGCCCAGGGGCCTGGCAGAGACAGGCTGGTGCGACCTCAGGGCAGAGGCCCGGCCACTTGGTGGGAAAGGTCTGGAGAGCCCCAATCCCGGGCCCGGGGGGGGCAGGATGTTGGGAGCAAAAGAAGTGGGGTCCTGGCCCTGACCGGTTTGGCTCCGTGGACGGAACGTTGGCCTGTGGACTGAAGGGTCCCGGCCTTGATGCCGGTCAAGGGCACATACCCAGTAGGGGGCATGCAGGAGGCAGCTGATCGATGTTTCTAACTACCTCTCTCCCTTCCTCTCTGTGAAAAATCAATAAAATATATTTTTTTAAAGGAAGCGGGGTCCTGGCTCCCCTGCAGCAGGGAGGCCCATAGCACCCTGGCGAGTTTCAGCTCAGACTCAGTTTGCACATCTGGAAAATGGGTCCCGCAAGGACTGCGCAGGATGCCGCCCGGGAGTGCGCAGGCGAGGCCCGGGACCTCGGGGCAGACAGGGTCCTCTCCCAGTCCTCGGGTGGGCCCGGGACTCACCGTCTGCAGGTCGAACCAGGTGCCGGCCGGGAAGTAGCCAGTCACTTCCACCTGCCCGGCCTCGAGCACCGGCGTGACGAGCAAGGCCTGGCCCCACAGCAGCTGGCGGTCCACCGGCCAGGTGCGGGGGTCCTCGGGGAACCTGCGCGCAGAGGCCGGGGCCGGGAGCCCGGTCAGCCGAGAGCCCCACGGAGGCTCCGGAGCAGCCGGAGCCGCGCGGGAGCCAGGAGCCGGACGTGGCTGGGACGGCAGGGCCGCTCCCCGACCCACTGGTCAACTCCGGGGCGGGACGGACGCTCCTCCGTCGGCGAGGGACAGGCAGGCGGTGCCCGCCTCCCGCTGTGGGCACGGTGCCCGCCCACTGCCTGTCTGTTCCTGGTGGGTCTGACCTGCCAGGCCACTCTCACTGCATCGAACCCCCGTCTGCTGTCCCTTTTCCCCACTAACTAGTGGCCCCGGACCTTCGTGCGTGGGGAGCGGGGAAGGGCACCTGAGCTTCCCAACCGCCAACCAACGCCTTGGCACGCGAGAGCCCTCAGGCTGCGGTTTGAGGACCATCCAGCTCGGCCCCTCCCACGCGCCCACGGCCGCCCGGGTCCTGACGGGCGGCGCTGACTGTCCCACAGTCGCTTACAGCCAGCGGCCTGGGCCCGGCTCGGCCTTCATGCCGGCTGTCTCTGCGCTGGCGTCTGAGGGGGGAACTGGGGTGCAGGGGGGACCCCGGGAGGGAGGGCCTCGGCTCACTCCGCTGCCAACCTGCTCT